CCAGCCTTAAAGTTAGCAGCATGTGTGTTAACTATTTCACTACCCAGGGACTCCTCAATTAATACTTACAATATGTGTTTATTTATTTGTGGTTTTTATTGCTACATACTGTATAAACCCCCTTAAAATTATTTTAAGTTGGGATCATATCGTATTATTTGTTTTTATGCAAAGAGTACATGCTAAATAGTTATGGGTTAATTAATATTGTATATGAATTTAACATAAATCCTAGTGGTGAGATTAGGTGTGAGTATCAATCAAAAAAGATCCCAAGAATTGAGAATTAATCACTGAAATTGAATGGTGAGTATAAAAGACTTCATGATTCTCTTTTATCTACTTCTGTGGATTTGAAATTTTCTTTATTGGAAAAGCTGTTGCTGTTGTTTTAGTACTACATTGTTCATTCTTACTAAATATTCAAAATGTGAAGACTGCCTCACACTTTGTATGCTACTTTGATCCTAGTGCCTAGTCCTTATCTGTTTCTCACTGTTTACAGAAAGTGCATGGACTTAAGATGTCAACATATAATACTGAGTTTTCCCCCCTCTCATTCCTTTTCTGGAGTTGTAATCACTTGATAGAGGGGCACTAAGTAACACAGAGATGTCAGCTATATTGTTGATGAAAGCTGCATTGAAAGATGCAGGAACCATGTAGTTCCTTTGCATCACTCCATAAATAAATCTACCAAAAACATAGACAGGGCTAACTGATAGAAGCTTTCTCCTTTGGAGTTAGAACTTGAAAGCAGACAGCCCCTGAGAGAGAATAATCACCCATGGAAGGCTGAATGTCACAGATGTTGAGACATGGAGAGAAAGGAGATAGCCTTTATCAAGATATGTTACTGGAAGTTTTAATGTAGGCTCAATGCACACATTGAGCTAATAATTTCAAGAACATGACTATTCTTTATTGAGCATTTTTCATATGCAAACCCCCTGATGTTGTTGTTATGTGCTGTCAAGGGGCCTGAGACTCATAGCAACCCTATGTACAACAGCTCTGAAGCCTGCCCTGTCCTGTGCCTGTCTCACTGACTCCAACACACCTATTGCCCCAGTTATCATGTCACTCCCTCTCATCCAAGGTCTTCCTCTCCTGTGCTGTCCCTCCACCCTTCCTAATGAGATGTCCTTCTCCAGTGACTGGTCCCTCCTGGCCACATGACCAAAGAATGTGAGGTGGAGCTTCAAAATCCTTGCCTTCAAGGAGAAACTTGGTTGCAACATCTCTAATACAGACCTATTTGTTTTCGTGGCAGTCCATGGAATGTTTAAGACTCTTCTCCAGTACCACAAGTCAAAGGCATTAATTCTGCTGTCATCCTTAGTCATTGTCCAGCTCTCTGATACACAGCACGTAACTGAGAAGACCATGGCCTGGATCAGGTACACCTTAGTCTCTAGTCACATGATTGCTCCTCAGCAATCTGGAGAGGCCTCTGGCAACAAACTTCCTCAATGCAATTTATCTTTTGACTTCTTAACTGCTGGTTCCAAGAGTGTTTATTATGAAGCGGAGCAAACTGAAATGAACAACCTCAATCTCTTCTCCATTCATCATGGTGCTGCCGGTTGGCCCAGTGGTGAGAATCTTTGTCCTCTTTATGTTGAACCTCAATCCACACTGAAGATTACAGCAGACACTTCAGGGGCTCCTTAATTTCAGCAAGCAAGGTTGTATCATCTGCATAGCACAGGTCGTTGATGAGACTTCCTCCATTCCTGATCCCACACTCCTTCTCATAAAGTCCAGCCTCTCAAGAAGACAAATTCACATCAGTAGTGTGTACCCTTCTTAGTACATTTCACAATCAGATGACTTCCATGATCTCTTCTCAAGGCCTTTGATTCTTATTAGAAGGGATACTTATTCCTCCAGCTTTGTTGTTATCTTCAATCCCCTATGTGTGGGTCAGTGGAGGAGTACTGTCTCTTAACAGTAAGGCTGGGGTAGGATGGATTGGACCAGAGTTACTTACCATCTATTGGGCCTGGCTCTCAGGTAAATTTAAGAGGCCTTTGCTTTGTCTTAAGAAAAAAAGAGATATAAACGAATGCATCAGGGACTTGTGAAAAACGAAACATAATAGTTTTACAATAACTCTACTTTTGGGGAAAAATTTGACAGATTGTCTAGAGACTTCCTCTTTTATACATTTGACTTTGTATAAAAATAGGCATCTTATTCTAGAGGTTGACTAATATAC